AAAAAGTAACACTGAAGGCATGTATGGGGCATGCTTGAAGGAATGTGCATCAGGGAAAAAAAAATATTTGAAAAAACACACACACACTTATAAAAAATAAATAAAAAAAAAATAAAAAACCATAAAACCATATCATATTAATTTCAACTTTAAGAGGAAGCAATCAGGGAAAAAAAATGTTTGAAAAAACACACACACACTTATAAAAAAATAAAAAAATAAAACATAAAACCATATCATATTAATTTCAACTTTAAGAGGAAGCAATCAGACTCCTTACAGGGCTACTCCAAGCATTATAAACATTGCTGAACATTGAAAAACCTACCTAGGTCCCCACCAGGCAACTACACAAACTGCAGAATTCAGAGACCATTCATTATCAGAGAGCGTCAGCTGAGCCCTCTCAGTTAATTAATGCATTTTACGTGCATAAATGTAATTTTGTAAATATGCATGCATTTGCCGGAGTGACTTACTAGATGCATGATTTAAGAGGTGGGAGTTTGGAGGCCAATGGCACCATTTTGTACTTGGTCCCGGGCAGCAGTATTTCTTGGCCCAACAACTTATCCATGTAATTCCACGTGATGCTGATATTTTTATTTAAAATTAAACAAGTCACATTTATTTTCACAGAGAATTTTAAATGCTTTAAATGACTAACAAATGATTATTCATTCAAATCCTTTGGCCAACAGAATAAATAACATGATGCTATGTGAAGATTTAAAACAGTCATTTTACAAGGATGTAATGCCTCAAGTGAAGTGCCACTGTGCAGATGCAATGCAAAACAGCCTAAACTGTGAGATCATATAGACTAACTCTATTAAAATGTCAATCAAGAAAACAATCAAGGCTCAAGAATGGCAACATGTTTTTCCAATTGAATTAAACGTTGCTTGTCAAATTCTTTAAAAAAAAAAAAAAAAAACACACACAAAAAACACACACAGCCCCACTTATAAGTGAAAGTCTTTGTCACTTCCAAACATGTAAAAAGCAATAGTATACAGTTATAAATACCACAATAAACCTTATATTTTACATCATACTTTCTTATAGTTTAACACACAGGGTTATTTACAAACATGAGAATTCAAGGTGAACTCAAAAATTAATATTACATTTAAGGTACAATGGCCAAAATTGAAAATTGTTCTCTAAGCTATGTGTTCCATTCAGATACTCTGGCTTTACATTTAAAATCACTTTTAATTTACCTCAAATTCTCAGTAGAAACAAAAAAGTAAACAATCCTGCAATTGTGTTACTTTGAAGTACTTTTTCTGATCAGCTCCACTTATTTTCGTAAGAAAACCAATCCTTCAATTTGTAGATGCACTATAGATAAAGATAAGTTCAAATCTATTTACTAAAACACAGGTTTAGCACTGGAGTTAAAGCACTAACAGTGCTGAGGAGAACTGATGTAAACTATGATTGCATGTGGAATGAAATGACCCCTCTCCATTTTGGATATTATTAATAATCATATCGATTGGTTAATTCCTTTTTTCTTCAATAGTCTTTTCTTTTATTTCAATCATGACAAACAATTTGCCTGTCAGCAAAAATGTGCAAGTATCGTGTCTAAGAGTGTTGCTATGAAACATATTTATTAGAAGATAAAAAGTTGGGACAGAACATTGGTAATCTAGGTGCCATAACAACTATAAGATGTAGTTGCTTTGGTGCCGGTGGGATAAGGGCATTTTCTTCTAGTACATGGTATACACATTTTTCAGAGCTTTGACCAAAACCAGAGATCCCCTGCATTACCTATTGCTAGTGTGTAAGTTCTGTATTAGCAATATCACTTTTGTTCATGTTTTAAAGTCTGCTTGAGCACACCAGCCTCTAAATGGTTTTAAAATACAAATGTCCTAATACAATAAACATTCTTATTCTGTCTTGAGATTTACACAGAACTTCAATTAACCCTTGATCTGTTAAGGATCAACCTAAACACCAAAATAACTTTTCACCGTTGTGTACGTAATATAGGCTGGGTTTTGTATGTGTACAAAGGCTACCAGGGTTATTCACTAAAGTGAGAATTATAGCAATTTTAAAGTGATTTTAAAATTTGGGGCCATTGCAGCTGAACTGGAAGTCTATTTCACTTTTAAAGTTTGGCTATTTTTGCCTTAAATTTGAAATTCACTTTGAAATTGATTTGAATTTGATTTGAATTCCCAACTAGTCCTACGTTAGTAAATAACCCTGTGTGTGATGTGTTTTAGCCTAACCAGACATATACAACACATACCCTTAGTACATCCACAGCCACTCCATACATATAATATACGCAGCCCAAAACACACACAATATAAACACACCAAATAAATAAACATAACCCTGAACAAATGTAGTGGGAAATGCTTTCTTAACACAGAAACCTAGGTTGAAGAGAAGATAGGAATCCGTATCAGTCCCTTGAGTGGTCGGGCTAGCACAAAGAATATAAGTCAGAACGTCTGCAAGCAGACAGAGAATAAACGTAAGTAGGCAGAGGTCAAGAAGTACGAATGTAGGGGGGCGTGTCTTGGACTCCGGAGCGAGCAGTCGCATGTAGCCGGAGCTCCGTGCTGCACAGGCCGTAAAGGAGACAAAAAAAGGTGACCAGATACCACAAAAGCCGACAGCTGCAGAATGTCCCAACACAAGCACCGACGCCAGACAGAGAGAGGCGACAAAAGCAATTTCTTTGGAATAAAGGCGAGTCAGAATCGAGGCATCAGCCAGCAAGGTGAGAACCAAGATGACGGCGAGGAAGACCAGATTTCTCCCAAGGAACCGGCGGCTGCCGACCTACCGGTCACGCAGGGGATCCTGCAGGCAATGCTGGACACTATGGCGGACAAGCTCCAGCTCACGTTCCAGAGCGCTATACACAACATTCCGATATTAAGGAGCTGGGGGACAAAACGGCCACGTTTGAAGACAAAATGGCGGCATATGAAGAGGCCCAAAACTCCATGGCGGCAAAACTGGACGGCCTCGCAGATAGAATAGAGACGCAGGAGGGGAAAACAGCTGACTTAGAGGATAGAGGTAGGCAAAATAACCTCCGCATCAGAGGCATCGCAGAAAGTATAGGCCCAACAGAACTTATGGTCTACCTCGTGGGATTGTTTACAGCACTTGCCCCTGACGTGCCCCCAGATATGTTGCTGATGGAACGGGGTCACAGAGTGCCAAAACCCACCTTCTTACCAGCTGAAACGCCCAGAGATGTGCTGATAAGACTGCATTACTTTCATATAAAAGAAGACGTAATGAGAGCAAACAGAACTAGAAACAAAGCACATCTACCGACGGCCTACCAAGCCATAGCAATTTACGCTGATATCTCAGCATATACACTAAAGCGTAGGAAGGACTTTGCAGGAATCACCACGCAACTCCGCCAACAACAAATATCATACAGATGGGAATACCCAGTGAAGCTGGTGGTACAGAGGAACGGAAGAACAACCATACTAGAGAACCCAGAAGAGGGGGTGAAAATCCTCAGGAGCTGGGGTGTAGAGATACAACCCCCAACAAAAGAGACTCAAAGACTCTGTCCATCATGGAGGAAAGCCAAACGCGAAATCACCCCCCCCCGCGAAGGCACTGTGAAGCCCAGCCTGGGAAACGACAACCCTGATGCTTGGTCTCAGGCTTGTATAACAAATGCAATGTTAAAGTCTTATCTAGTTAATGTTATTATAAATAAGGGTAATACTGCAGAATGTACACACAGAATTGCAGGGGGCACTGAATCATAGGAGGGGGGTGACCAAGATCTGAGGGGCAGTGGGGTGGGAGAGACAAAGCGGCACGACCCCCCCCCGGAAGACAGAGCCTGGCAGGGAAATAGGCATTAAAAGGAGGAAACACTGACCAGGACGTGAGAAGTACTGCCTACACCAAGAATAGACAACATAAAGGCACTCTCCCCCAGACGCTCCATCAAGGTATACCGCAAAAAAAAATAAAAAACACCCAGTAACCATACAGGCAGGCAGAGACACAGGCCTTCCGCATAAGTTCATCCTCAATAGGGTCACCGTAACATGACAAGTACCCACATAGGCCGCGGCCGCAGAACCGTAGCTGAGACGGGAACCGTTAGTTCCTACCCCCAACGCACCGCCACCTGGTGCACAGCCGAACGTTCGGCAAAAATGTTTGTTTATTATGGTTTACCAGTTTCTATTATTTTCTATGTTTTCATACATGTATTTATGTTTGTACCACTTGCACTCCATTCAACCAGAGTACGCTCCGCTGGGCACCTACCGGGAACCAACCGGGTGGGGTGGCAGGCCCATAAATACGTGATATGGAGACAACTGATAGGAGGGGCATCACACCTAAAATGGAAATTCCAACTACAGCTCCGTACATATCAAACAGACCTTCAGCGTACTACGAAACAAAACCAAATCACTCCCACACATGAGCTGCGGGAACAAATCATAAAACTTACAAGGCTCATACACCAGATGTCCCTAGAACAGGTAGGCTACCACCTGAAAAAACTCAAGGCACAAAACTACACACAGGGAAACAAAGCAGGTAGACTGCTAGCACAAAGGCTGAGGACACAACAAGCGGCCCAAAAAATAGCATACATGATATCTCCAAATGGACAGAAGATAGTGGCGCCCAAAGACATTAGCAACGCATTCGCTAAATACTACGAATCGTTATACAACCTAAGGGACGACTCGAACACACACCAACCCAAAGAAGCTAAAATAGCCTCCTACCTAGACAAAGTTGCCCTACCCAAACTTACCCCCACCCAACAAGACAGCCTATCCGCCCTGATCACAGAGGCGCTGAGAGCGATCAACTCACTGCCCACGGATAAAGCACCGGGCCCAGACGGGTTTGCCAACTGCTGCTACAGGCATTTTCAACAAATCCTCGCCCCCCACCTCACAAACGCATTCAACGACGCTGTCACAAAGCAAACACTGCCTCCAGAAGCTTTAAAAGCCCACATCATTACGCTGCCTAAACCGGGCAAGCCACCCACTCACCCACAAAACTTTCGCCCGATCTCATTACTAAACACAGACACAAAACTCGCGAAAATATACGCCACTAGGTTGGGAAACATAATCCCACAACTAATCAAAAACGACCAGGTCGGATTTGTAAAAGGAAGGCAAGGGGGGGACAATACGAGGAAGGTCATAGACATTATACATAGTGTCCACAGACAGCATACAGAATGCGTAACACTCTTGTTAGACGCGGAGAAGGCCTTTGACCGCCTGGGTTGGAGGTTTCTGGAGGTGGTTCTCTGCAAATTCGGGATGCCAGAGGCCTTCCGCTCGGCGGTCGGGGCTTTGTACAGTAGGCCTTCGGCGCAAGTGGTTACGGCAGGCTTCACATCGGAGTCATTTAACATCACTAACGGAACAGGGCAGGGATGCCCACTTTCTCCCCTGTTGTACGTACTGGCTCTGGAGCCACTTGCGGAGACAATCAGGACCAATAGTTCCATACACAGAGTAACCGTTGGGGATAGGGAATATAAAATTAATTTATTTGCGGACGATGTCCTGCTGACATTGACCCAACCCCAAAATTCGCTACCAAACCTTATGAACAACATTAAAGAGTGCGGCCTTAACTCCTACTACAAATTAAATGTCACCAAATCCCAGGCCATGGGCGTGGGACTCCGACAGTGCCGACTTAAACACCTAAGTGAGACATTCTCATTTGATTGGAGGAGGGACCACATTAACTTTCTGGGCGTCCATAAACCCCCCCACCTGCCCCACCTGTTCAAATTAAACTTCACTAAATTACTTGGATCGTTTACTGACACACTACATACATCGGAGGGCAAATATCTCTCTTGGCTGGGCAGACTGGCAGCAATTAAGATGTAAATACTCCCCAAACTCCAATATCTGTTACGCATAATCCCTATCAGTCTGCCGGGTCAGTACATGACCACAATTCAAAAGATGATTGTACGTTTCGTGTGGGCTAACCGCAAGATACGGGTTGCCACCAGACTCCTACAAAAACCGATTAAAGACGGGGGAATGGGAATACACAGCATTAAAACCTACCATAGAGCCACGCTGTTGGCTGCCATAGCAGCAACCAACGCAGTGGAGAACCCCCCCCCCAGTGGGTACACATAGAAGCACATTAGGCATGTAGACAGGGGCTGCGGCATCTGTACCAGCTACAACGCAAACTACGCCCGACATATGCTGACATTCTGCCGACCACGGCGGCAATGCTCAAAACATGGGAATCGAGAGAGCTACGCTAGGCATGGTAGGACCAAACACAGGAAACATACCATTAGCATGCATAACAGTGGGCATCCCAACCTTCGATCACACCCCTTGGGTAGGGGGAGGCTGTACTCACCTTAGACAGGCCTGTGAGGGAGGCGTGATACTGCCATTCCCAGTGCTGCAAACCAAGTTCTCACTACTCGCCAGACACATATTTCCATATCTCCAACTGAAATCCTTTGTGGCCACTCACTTGACGGACGCAAACCACGAGACACCACACATTAGCGCCTTAGAACAACTCTGCCTAACACACAGCGTACCCAAAAAAATCTTGTCAAAAATATACGCACTACTGATGACCTCGACCATGCACGAACATGAGGACTTTAGGGAGGCTTGGCAGGCAGACATAGGACGCCCGCTCGCAGATCTAGACTGGAAACAGGCATTTCAAGCACACAAAGGACATACCACACACCTAGAAACAATGAGGAAAATTATGTACAGATGGTATATGATCCCAGACAAACTAGCAAGAATATACCCAGGAACCCCAGGGGAGTCCTGGAGGAGATGTGGAGACAGGGGGACAATGTATCATACCTGGTGGACATGCCCTCTAGTAACTCCATACTGGGAGATGGTGGAAGAGGTGATAACCAACACGATAGGCCAACCATACCACTTAATGCCCGAACAGGGTATACTGTTCATGCAACTTACCCAATGGCACAAACTTGAAAGACAACTGATATTCCAAGTGCTTATAGCAGCAGTGACTCTGATTGCCAGGCACTGGAAGCAAACACGACTTAATAACGCAAACAACCATGAACTGGGAATATGAGAGTATGGCCAACAAATATATCACAGCAAACCATACAGTCAAAGAGGCAAACAAATAAATGGGCAGAATACACAAAAAGAAGCACACAGAGCCTTAGACCCCCGTCCGTGGAACCACATTAAGGCAAAAGGAACCGGGGAATGAGGAAATGCCCGGGAGGCCGGGCGAGACCAGGGTGCGAATTTGGAGGTCGGAACGCTATACAGTAAAGCTATAGCACAGGAGGTGGACTGACAGAGCTACCTTCTAGGGAATTTGGCCCCATAGGGAGGGCAAAGCGGAGCAGTCACTCACAACTTCCTACAAAATACGTTTATTTACATCCTATTTCTTCCCCCCCCCCTCGATTTTTTCATTATTTTCCTAGGCATCTTTCCTAATTCCTATTCCGTTCAATACCCCCACAAGCCACGCCTACAGTCAGAAACCAAGTAGAATTTTATAGAGTCTCCGAATGGAGAGAGGACTATCCTCCTGCAATTGACCAATACACGACTCTCCAGGTTTCTAACAAGCCATACAGACTACGGAAAGGCACTATGGTATATACACTACAGTACTGCATTACTCACTAGGCGAAAAGCTAATAAACAAAAGTGGCGACATAACGATAATTGCTACATACTATACCTAATGCTCCAGAGATGTTAAAAGTATCAAACGATACGTACGAATGTACACGGATATGGGAAACAATTCAACGTCAGAGAACAGGGATAGTCAGGCAAACCAAAAGTAAAAAAACAAATGAGGAAAAAAAACAGAATTGGAACAACCAAGAAGTTAAATTCTCTATTCTATGTGGTAACTGGGTGCAGGTACATGTGATGTCATCCTAGAGATAAGCATCATTAAAAAGTGCCATGTATCTTTAAATATATAAAGGAGCACAGTGTAATGAATGTCCTGCATCATAAATGACTAGGACATCGGGATGTGCGGGGAGGCTGAATGTAGACGTGCCCCAGTGCTGGAATCTCGCTGCACCGCAGTGAGGTACCATAACGTAACCTACAAATCAATCAAGTTGCTAGGATGTCCAAAGTCAGAAAATAGAAAACACAAAAGTATATGGGTCAAGTAAGACAATAGGAAATCCTAAAAGGAGTGGGCTGCTTCACACTAAAAATAAGAGACTGTGATATGAAAAATAAAAAAAAATATATAAAATAAAATGCGAGCGCTTATAAATAAAAAAAAATACATACAAGATATATATTTTAATAATGATAAAACAACAGATAAAAAAAAACACACAAGCTGCTCCAAAGTAATAATAGAAATGCACAATCTAAAACATACATATCATGACATCCAAGGTAGTAATGCCTTCTAAACAACTACAACTAAGAACGTTGCAATGTGGAATAAAAAAGTATCAGAGTGGCATAAATACATACGCAGTGCGTGACCCCAGCCACAAGTCAATATCCTGACCAAGATCGGAAGAAAAGAGGTATATCAACAACCCTATTAACTATCAAAAATAATGACATCCTATGAAATTATGAAAACCAGATATATATATATATATGTATATATGAATAAAATAATTCTGTAACAAGTACTTATCAGTAGGGGGCCCCTCTACAAATGCAGATACTGTAAAGGACTGAGATGATAAAATACAGGAGATCGATGGAAGACCCTAAGATGCCCAGCGAGCTCAACTCTAAGATGTCTCAGTGAGATGGCACAGGTGCTCTACGTTCACAGGTACAGTGAATCGTGCTGTCTTTCAGACACTCACTATGATCTGGCACCATGTTGTAATAGGGTAGCACATCAAACTGGGGAGCGCGTGGTGAGCCATGGCAAGTAACTTCGAAAAAGGCTGCAACTGGCTTAAAGGAGCAGCGTTGAGGTTTAGAGAAACTGTCTTAGCTTTTTTTGGAAAGTTATATGGCTGTAAGTACAAGTAGCACACTGATATTTTCAAACCATTTTTATTCAAAATTAATGCAAGTTACATTGCAACACTCATATCTGTTGTATAACACTTTTTTCATGCAACCATTTTACCACAATCTATGCCAAATTTAAAAAAATAATAATAATAATAATAATAGGTGATTTTTTTGACACACATAGCAATTTAAGAATACATGTACAGAGAACTCTAAGGGTCACTGCCAAAGAACACCTGAATATGTGTTCAGCAACATCTCCTGAGTACACTGATACCACCCATGTATAGGTGTGTTGGGTTCTCTGGGGGCTAAAAGACCTTATTTGGAGGGTGCGCATTCCAGTTTTCCAACTTGGAATTATCACAGCTGTGTGTGTTTATTTAAATTTTTTATTTGTGTTCAGGGCTTAGGACACTTATGAAAGCATTTTAAGGTAGTAATTAAAGACCCAATATGTACAATATAGAAATATGGAAAATTCGCTTGTGGTGTGCCGGAACCGACAATGCGGTAGGCCTGTAATAAAGAGGGCAAAAATGAGTATACCAAATAGGATTTATTCATCCTACAAGTAACAAGCATATACCATCGATTACGTATTCATATTACGTAAAGCTTTGTGTATTTTTCTAACGGGTTGCGGTATGTATCTGGCGTAAGTGGAGGATTTCCAACGTCCTAATGATTTAATTAAGTGTTTACTGGTATGTTTTTGCTAGATGCAGTGGAGGCTGCCCCAATTTGGAAGGAGTTGCTTGAATAATTTGATGGATTAAGGCCTAATCTTACCAGTAATACCCTAATATAGAGCATGAATTTATTTGTTGTGAGAGCATTGTCGTGTAAAGCTAGTAGAGGTTGGGTAGAGGAACCGAGAATGGATGTTTAAAAATGATCTAGTATTCAAGACTGGGCACCATTTGCTGTCTGTAGAATCAGAGGAAAATTTTACCACCTGCTCCCCTTGGGTAGTCTTTGTATGTTTGAGGGATAAGACATAGTGGTCTTGTTTTATAATAATCTGCGATCTGGTAATGTAGTCCTGAGAAGTGGTTTATGGTGGTAAATTCTTTACTTTTTATGTCTTCTAAAGGGTAAATGGAAAGGATATGTGAGACTTTATACTTCTGAGAAGAAACTCCCATGCAGATGTGAACGGACATGCCGAACTGGATCACATTAGCGTTCCAACAGAACGTTACTGATGAGCATCAGGAGATGAAGTGACGGCAGTGGAACACATATGCTTTCCACCTAGTATGGCGTCCTGGAACGTAAGAAATTGGCGCAGACTGAATTTAGATTCATCAGAACAAACAAACAATCTCAGCTGCATAGGAACAAGACGGATTGGCTGAAGGCGATCTGTGGGAAGACTGAACAAGGTAAAAAAAATGTACTGTGAACACAATATTGATAATGCATTACTGGTGAACTTCTGGAACTATGATAACCCTGATAAAGTATTCATAGTAAGATGAAAAGCGTTGAGCTTTTGTACGTTTTTTATTATTTATTAATTTGTTTATGAATATTTGTTATTGTTATAGTATGCCCTATTGCAATTTATCCTGAGGAAAGAGAAATTTATTTTGCCATTCATTTGCACTTTATCATATGGACTAAACTCTTCAGATAAGTGTTGATGGGCTTTCTACAAAATTTCATCTTGTAAGTGTACTATAATATTGCAGCTATATTGTCATTTATGGTTGTTGCAGTATGAATTTCCATTATTATTTTTACATGCACTGTTTAGTATCTGGAAAGCGTTCGTTAACTGGCGTTTATGCTTTATGTGATGAACTTGCAATCTTACCATTAATTGTGAGATTTACCTTGAATCAAATATTTATGGTGGACTTATTTTACCAGGAAGGATGATACATTGAGATCTCTCTCATTTTCAAGTATGTCCTGGGTACACAAAACATTGCATCGTTATAATAGGGTACAATAAAATACAAAAACAATATTAATGCACAACATATATACAAAATGTAACATAGAACAGGTAAGAAATATATAATGAACCATGACAGGTGCATTCTGTTTTGAGATATGTAGAGGGGGATCTCTTAAAAGGATTTTGGGCTTGGGGAAGATTTAAAAGTGTGCAGGACGTCGTTCCATAATTCAGGTGCTCTGCAGGAAAATTGAGGATTGAGACACTTTCTTTTTGTATTGAGGGAGACTAAATAAAGTGCTGGTAGCGGATCAGAGGTTAGAGGAGATGGGAACAGCATTCTGCTCAGGTAGGGTGGGAGCTTCCCAGAAAAGCTCTTAAACACAAGGCTGCAAAGATGAAGGGTGCGTCTGGATTCCAGCGACAGCCAGCTTAGTTCTTTTAGCATGTCACAATGGTGGGACACATAATTACATTGTAGCACAAAGCGTCAGAATGAGATATACAATCTAGTAAGTTTATTAAGATGGGTTTGCGGTGCAGGTGCATATACTACATCCTCATAATCAATGATTGGCATCAGCATTTGCGGTTTAATCTTTTCCTTTACTGTGGGACTTAGCCAGGATTTGTTTCTGTACAGGGCACCTAGTTTTGGATAAAGTTTTGATGCCATTTTCTATGTGGAGGCCAAAAGATAGACTCGGGTCTAACAATATACCCAAGTATATGAAAGAGTGGACTGCGGTCAATGTGCTATTTGATTGTTTTGATGCATAGATGGGAATTTTGTAATTTGTTTGTTTTTTGCAATCCACTTTTCTATCTCTGAGAACTGGTCTCGGAGCACAGCCTCAAGCTGCGGTAGCTCGGATTTGCTTGCGTAGATTACTGTGTCGTCTGCATACATGTGTACATTTGAGGCTTTGCAAACATGGGGCAGATCACTTATGAATAATGTGAATAGTAGGGAGCCAAGTATGGAACCTTGGGGAACACCACACGTGTGGGAGAGTGAATAGCTATGAGAAATGGACACATATTACGATCGATCCAATACATTTAATCGAAATCAGGTTAGCGATCACTAAATACCTTCGTTTTTGCAGTATAATGTCGTGTCGTGGAGCTAAGGCCTCGTCAAAATCAAGGAAAATAGCACCAGTTAGGTCTCTTTGTGTACTACCCTATTTGTTTGTTGTTTTTTTTTACACATTTTTGACAGATAACTTTGAGTTTGTTATAGGTTTTGAGGACTTTAATAAATCCTTGCTGTATTTACTACAATAGCTGTGAAAAGTGAAAATACCATTACATTAAGTTTTTTTCACTTTGCACTTCACTTGTAAGGCGAGTGTGCTGGTTGTTCATATTGTTTCAAAGTGTAACTCTACCAGATAATGAACCCTCTTCACTGACTTGCGTCTCCACTGTAATATGGGGGGTGAGCCAAGGTGCATAATAGCACTAGGATCAAGAGAGATTGATTGAAAGGCAATGTGAGCTGCCACTTAAGAAGCAAGGTTCTCTGGCTGGAGACACGCTGTTCTGGAAAGGATGGTTTGCCGGCCTTTCCTGTGATCCAGGCCTTCTACGTGCTTTACAAGAAGCACTATGTAAGTGTTCCGCACCATGAATGACGTCAGAATGAGGCGTGACAACATTGGGAAGTGCAAGGAGCATTGGCGGCCAAATGCCAAAGTGCTGGGTGCCAGGATCGTGCAGCCCCGTGAGTAGGTTCTGTAATAGTTGGTTGAAAGAGAGACCGGAAGAGAAGTAGGAAAGAGAGAGAAGGCTGGAGAAGAGAGACACGTCCAGTATGACATGGGTAGAAATACATTTGGTAGGGGGAAAAAAGACCATGCAGAGAAACAAGAAAAAGAATGTAGAGAGACATGACAGGGAACCAAACTTTCTAAGCCTGAAACATCCTCAGCTGCACTATGGCAAGGGAATTATGTTGTGCATGTGGCTCTGTTGGACAAAAGTTTATGGGATAAAAAAAAAAAAAGTACCAAAGTAACGAAATAAATAAATAAGTCCCTTAACCAGAATGGAGGAGCCCCTGATTGATGGGGTCTCTTTCTCTTCAGGGTGGGATCTGCAAACATTGTTTGACAGTATTTTATTTTTCTAATATTTGACGTGATATGCATTGTTTAAGGCATTATCTATACAGTATAATGCTTTACAAAATGTGAGGAAATGATTCCCTATTTTGTTTGTTTAATGATATGAATGTCATTTACACTTACATCAGTTTGAGCAGAAAATATAAAAGTAGTAAATAAAAAGTCACAGACTCCCAAGTATAGATTTTGCACTTTAATTGCATGAGACATTAATGATGTCACAAGATCCTTTACACTACTAATTATAGAAGAAAAGCCATGAGGCAGATGATCATAAAAGCCATAATTTGTGTTCCCTTACATAGAGCAAGTTCTGGAGTCAATAGAGACAAGCTGAGATATGGCTCTCCACTGGGATGTTTATGTACTACTCTCAGTGAGAACTCCATTACATTCTCTAGCCCTGCAAAGTTCCAATAAAAAAAATATGGCAAACGCAGATACACTGATGTCCAGGCATAACCTTTAAATGTTATTCTTAGCACCTTGGATTTTAGAAAAACCATAGAGAATAAAGAAATGGTTTCTGGTGTATATATAAGCATTATACAAGAATGTTTGTAGGGCCTTTCTTCAGTTGGTGCCCATTAATAAAGAGTACAGACTTACTTTCAACAACCAGATCAGACTGTATAAAAAACACCAACTTTTATTCAACCAGATAAAACACTTTGCTTTCTTAAGATAGCCATAAAAATAGCCCTGTTTTAAAACACGCCATTGAAGTGCTTCGGAGCGCTGGTCCAAAGTTTTTTTAATTTTCTTTTTAAAGTTAACGTGTGTGTGTGTGTGTGTGTGTATGTGGGCTGTGTTTAACTGTGTTCGTGCATGTGCAGTTTGTGGTATTGTCAATGATATGCAAGTATTTGAGCTGCATATCATATTATGTGTGTGAATGTGGGCTGCATGCAGAATTGTGTGTGGTGGTGTGGGTATTCCTGGAGGTTGCTTGGTATATTGTGTGTGAGAGGCTGATTGTGGAGGTGTGTGTGTGTGTATGTTGGTTGTAAGTGGTGGTGTGTTTTTGGAGGGAGAGGCTACATCTGCAGATTCTTTGTGTTTGTCTAGTTGTGTGGTTGGCTTCCTCTGAGGTTTGCGCTGGTACAGTACAGGTCAAGGACAGAGGATGCGTAATTCCCCAAATAGCCCTCCTCTGCTGCTCATGCGTGGGGCTTGAGGGACGACAACCCTTGGTTCTATCCATTAATTTTATTGGTCCTACCTATTGAGTGACTGGTTAAAAATTAAAATTGCAAATTAAAATTTGCAAACTAAATTTGGATGAACAGAACTAAATAATGGACACAGTTCAGTTTGGCTGAATAGGTTTTTTTATTGTCTGAGGAAACTATTCAGATGAAACAAAATTTCCATACGTGCACAAGTCTAATAGCCAGCACCTTGACAAAGTATTGGCATGCAAGATGGGACAAAGTAAAATGAGCAACAGTCTCATGGACTACTTATCAATAGTACCCCAAAAAGAAAAAAAAATCATCAAAATACACTATATAAAATGTACATTCCAATCAGAATGGCAATAAGAATCACATCACCTGAGATATACCTTAAAAGAGATTTTTTTAGAGGGTTTTTTTTTAGATTTTTGTTTTTGGGGAGTTGAGTATCTTTTTAAACATATCAGACACAATAAAGCTATCATATGCATACCAAAGCTCAGCTATCCTATCACCCACTGTCCTGGTAGAGGTTAACAGAAGCTCCATAGAGTGAATCTCTTGTATCTTGTTGATGTAAAAATTCAAAGCAGCTAGTTACCAAGCAATAGCAGTAAAATAACAGCTGAGGGTCGGATATTTTATTGTTAGTTTGTTTTTTATATTATATTGCCATTTTGAGAACGCTTTTGTATTCCTTAGAAATACAGAGTATTTTACCACGTTTTATGTCTTGCATTTCTATACCTTATAATATTGCATTTACTCCTCCTATTATTGTAAACCTGAAGCATTGCAAAAAAAGGAATATTCTACATTAGTTATAATTCTCAATATTTCTGCAAACAATGAACAAGCAAAAGAAAGATATAATTCATTTTTCCAGTATGCTGGACAGAGATCTTTACACATTTTTGCTCAATCTGCATATGCTATTTATCTATGCCGTAGTTCAAAAAACATTAACAATTCTGTCAGGGTAAATAAGATTCACATATTAGTTTGCAGACATCACTTCCTGCTATAGATGTACAGTAGTGTAGCTTGAAACTCTAAATAGTCAGTACACGGAACTTATGAAGCAGTCAGCAGCGCATCTTAATCCATCCATTATATCTCTGTATGATATACTCTATTTACCCAGCAGCAATACTAATAAAAATGCAAGAATTTCAGTGTTCTATGGCAGAGAAATGCAAGTTTGTTTGATAAAGACCCTCGTTACCAGTAGTTTGTGCATGTCCAACTTGTCTTATTGCATCCACTGTTCAATGCAGTTACAAGCAGACTCGTAACATCAGAGATGCTCTAATCAGGAGTGTCTCATTCTTGTCCGTGAGGTATGATCTTCTACTATAAAACTCTGTGCATCAAGGATTTATGGGACAAGTAATCTATCCCCTATTAAGAGAACTTCTGCAAAAATAACAACTAATGGCAACCTCGCTGTTTAGTGAGCAAAGTCTCTCTCCCTCTCCTTTGTGGGCTTGGTTTGCACACATCCTGCAAGCAAAAATTGGTCACATGTACGACAGCCAACACATAACTTGCAAGTCTGCTGCCTGACAGCTTTGAGGTGGGGGCATATAGTAAGGGGAATAATTGTATTCAATGTTATGTTAATCGAAATCAAGTATTTAAATTCCTGTGTGGTAGATTTTACTTACTGGAAGTTACCTCAATGCTGCTTCCACCATCACAGACCAAGGGAGTTAAAGGGTCAGTCAAGGTTCTGTACCCAATAACCACTACAGTATGCTATAATGGTTACAGTGCCAGCTCTCTCCTGGCATTATCCTCGTATTACATAGAAAACCGATTGTAAAAGCTTACATGGGTCTCCCAGTGGTCCAGTGTCCTCTTCTGATATAACTAATTCTGAAGGGGAACTTCAGATATATCAATTTCCTCTCTGTTCATTGGCTGAGAGTGTCAGACATTTTAGTGGCAAGACTGGTAGTGCCCATGGGACTCAAATAAGTGTCAAACCATTCAAAAACAGTATACATTTTACACTTGGGATGGCGCCAGAAGACTCCCAGCACCATACCCACAACAAGACACCATAGTGGTAATGGTGCCTAGACTGACCCTTTAAGGAAACAAAAGTTTCATTGCATTACAGAAACACACATTGGAGCCAACTTACCCAGCTCATTCAGGCTTTGAGCAGCTTTGGTGATCTCTCTACTCCCCCCCTGCAGTTGACCTTGAAGTCTCTTGCTGAGATACAAAATGCGTATAATTCTCCGAAGCAAATCACAAGCGGACTGTAAAACATGATTATTCTGAATCAAATAATGGTAAGTGTCTTTTACACAACAACATTTGTGTGGCAGCATTATGGCTTGTGGCAGGGGAAAGAAGACTTTCTTGAGAGACATTAAAATGCCCTATTTAAGCATTAAACACTTTAAAAAGCAACAGAAAGGACTAAGCTTGTGATTAACAAACTTTCACACTAATAAATATACGTTCAAAACAGAAGGAGCTAAAAAAAAGCACCCCAGATCCTGGAATCTACAGGACTTGTTAAGTCGCATGTAAAGAACAACCATCTAGATGGATAGAAACCACAGTAGGGTTACACAGTAGTGTTAGAGCTCTATCCTCAACTTCCCTCTGGGATATTATCTTTAGAAAAGTGGGTTAAGATGCTGATGTCTAAGAATCAGTACATACAAATATTTCCCTCCTGCAATTATAGTAAAATAAATTAGGCTTGGGCTGAGGATGCACCGAAATTTCGGCTCTGGAAATTTTCGGCCGAAAATGGGGCTAACCCATTTCGGCCAAAAATGTATCAAATTTGCTAAAAATTAAACCTCCCCTTCCAGGGCCAGCGCTACCATAAGGCGCACCAACCCTGGGGGCACAATGACAGGCTGACCTGCAGGAGGGGAGTGCATTTTTTTTTTTCTTGCAATTTGAATTCAGTACCCACTGCTAAATGCAGTTTGTTCCTTTCCGAAATTAATTTATTATAATTAAGTGCAAGACTCTTCCACAAGCCAAAATTATCGTACAACACACATTAATAGCTGATAAATAAAAGGTTTAAATTCATTCTGCTGTTTCATGAAGTCAGATTTAGAGTGAATAGTGGAAAAAATTAAGAATGGAGAAAAAAGAAGGAAAACCTGCTGAAACATACTCCTTTGAGACAAATTCCACAAAAAAGTACAATTAACAATGCACACAATCACATATACATAGCTCTTTAGAAAAGATATAGTACATGGAGAAAGCATAAAAGGCAAATACTGCCTACTAAAATGGGTTATGCAAAGCAAGAAACAAGAAGCCACTTGCTGTTGAATTTTAGCAGATGAGAGTGGCCAGTCAATTAATAAAATATAATAATTTGTATGAACTCAGAAGATATCATACACATATGCATTCTCATTAACTCTCCCATAAAAAGCCATGAAGTCTGGAAATGGCTGGGTTTGGCCTGTCTCAAACAAAAAGCAGGGTTTCACATTTGGATTCCTTGAACAGTCAGGAAAAAAAATACATTTAAATGTATCTTACTTGAATTTCTGAACTCTTGATTTCCAAAGCATTGTCTCTATATTGCATTAAAATGGGCAGTAAGTATACCTAAAGTTGTCCCTTTAAGCAGGAAGAAGTGTGAAAGCATCAGGGACAGAGAGCGCTGGGTATAATGAACCTAGTAACAAGATTTATCTGCTAATGAAAGCCTCTTGCCTCCAAGGTACATATTTCAAAGTACTGCATGTAATTAGATGGAGGTTCTCCTGTGGAATCTTAGGGAGGTAAAAAGCTTAAAAGTATACGTTAGATGGTCTTACCACATACTGTCCTGATAATCAGTGTAATATATGGTTAATTAATTAAAACCAACAGCATGCCAGGCATATTATTAAATAAAGGGGTTTACTTAATGTCTGAATCATTGTGGGGTAGTTTTCTAAAACTGGAACAGTTACAGGAAAAAATTACACCTACCCTGATTGCTCCACTTTAAGATCATCAATCTAGAATTGTTTGCTATAAATAACTATCTTTGACAGTTTGTAAGTGTAGATTGTGACGGTGCTGTGAATAGTATGTGAGTGAGGCTTCAAGGTGTAATGAGCAAAGGGCAAATTCCATTAATTTACTAGTCTAATCTGCAAACAGACAAGTCGATAATTATCTCTTTTCTCTAACAGGTAACCCTAAGCTATATTTACCCAAGCCTGGTAAATCGCACATTCAGGGTTATTCACTATGATGAGAATTCAAAGGGAATTTCACATTTATTTATAAAATATTTTACCAGGACATAAGGATATAGTAGCCAAACTGGAAAAATTATAAGGCTCCAGTTTGGATATATTGGCATCATTTCACTTTAGTGAATAACTCTGTTTGTCTGTTTAAAATTATATAGATAAAAATACAGAAATGCGCAGATAATACAGCCTACCTGTAAACGTGCCAGCTGTGCAGTCCGCGACACAATCTTGTTGTATGGATCAATAATTTTTCCTCTAATTCTATAAACAAATTTAAAAAAAACAAAATATATCACCAACAAGATATGTTTATATGCTTCCAATAAAAGACATTTGTATGTATGCATACCTATCAATTGCACTTTGCAAGGCACCAATTCTAGTCTGCATCATTTGGAGAACACCTGCAATGAGATCCATTAAAGTATATGAGAACACTCTTTGATTAATGCATTTACATTTGTGATAATAGAAATGTTATAAAATTCAAGTTACTAAATTCAGCCAAATCATTAAAACCACTTGTGCTGCCAAATAGCTCTGATGCATCAAGACAGGGACTCCACAAGACCTATGAACATGTCATGTGGTATCTTACACCAAGACATTAGCAGGAGATCCTCACCAGAACAAATACATTATGCTGTAGTTGTTCTGGTGATTATAGTGTCCCTTTAGGTCCTGCAAATTGGGTGGTAGGGCATGAGACTTGTTGTTCCAGCACATCCCAGATGCTCAACTGAATTGAGATCTGAGGAATTTGGAGGCCAAGGCAACAACTTGAACAGTGGCATCTCTAGGATTCATATTTAGGGGGGCACATAGTGGGCCTAGGACAAAAGTAGGGGGGCAGTTATAAAACGTGTATGTATGTGTGTGTGTGTATATATATATATATATATATATATATATATATATATATATATATATATATAAACAGAAAAACCTTGCACTCCCATGTACATTTAAATAAACCCGGTGCTTGATTGCACTAAATAAAGCCAGAAAAAATCAGCACTCCCAGGAATTTTGCCAAAAATCCAAACACTTATCTTTAGTCCAGTAGTCAACGTTTCAGTTCCACTGGGGAACTTTCATCAGGACAGAAAAACCACACACAGACACACACACACTTAATTCCTCTGCAAAGTGCAATCTCAGCCAGGTAGGTAACGTGTCACACCTTAGATGTAGCACTGTCCATTCAGCTCACATCTCCCCTATGGATTGAAGAATTCACGTCTCTCCCCCCTCCCTCCCCCTTCCATCCATGTCTCTGTTCAACCCTTCTTCAATGTCGTGGAACTTTCAATGTAGTGTAGTGAAAGTTATTCACTTCCATTATAAAATAATGTGCCTCCCAATAAAATCTGATCTTGACTTACCCACAAATCATGTTAATAAATTATGCATGGAAAGGCATCACAGTTAGCTAAATATTAATATATTCACATTATTAAGCACTTCTCGTTTTCGAATACATCCTGAATCAATGAGTTGTGGATGTCCTCTAACCTTAAAAAAAGATTTCCAGCAAGCAAAATTAGCTACATGTGATCAAACAGAGAATGGATTATTTTGAAGGGTGAAGATGGAAAAGAGAGAACTGATTACAGTTAAGTGCAATTTAAGTAAACTTCTAAGAGGAAAATAATTTAGAAAATTGGCCCTTTAAAACACTTTTTGCTTGCAGTTGGTAGATTGCATTCAATGTGTGTCCTACAGTGCCACCTGCTGTGCACAATCTGATAGAATTAACTCACCAAAATGACATAACTGCCAGTCGAAATGGTTTGAAAATGATTGTCTGACTGGGCACTTTCTAAGTCTGCATATGACGTTGTACTATATTTTAACACACACTTAATGTCACAGGGTCTTTGGCCCCAACATTTCTATTCAGCATTCACAATGATGTACAATACTTATTTATAATAGTATGATTCAACGATCAGCCCTCAAAGCTAACTGTATATAATGGCCCTAATGCCTTCTATATAATATATAGATACTTCCTTAGAGCTCACTATACTAGTCCAATTACAAATACTCTGAATAGATTTAAAACTTGTGTCTCTAATCTTGCTATTTGTATCTCTTTGTTTAAAATGAGACACTGTTGCACTATAAGGATATAGATACAGTACTACAGTGATAGCATCATAAAAGGCTCATTTGGGCATAAATTTTAATTTTATTTCAAGACACAGAGAATCATATTGTGCATCTCTCTTTCTTTACTTAACATATAGCAGCAAAGAGAAACCAATGAGAAAAAAGCATGCCAATATGTGACCTCTCAAACTCCACCCACTCATATGCAGGCATCCCTATAATCCAGGATCATACCATTTAACTTCCTCTTTCTTTTCTGCTCTGGATGCCAGCTAAGTATTTTTCAGACCTCCTTTTAAAACTTAATAATTGCTGTATATAATGTATGTTTCCTATTAGACAAACCGCCTGCTGGCTGTCTGATGTATGCAGTTACCTGTTTGTGCTTTTACTGCTTGTCAGCACCAGGATTTAGGATTGTTTTATGCTTGATCTGTTACTTGCCTGCCTGGCCCACCTTCTACCAACTTTTTTCCCTGTTTCTTCACGGCCTGACACCTGTTTTTTGCGGTATCGAGCCGCGCGTGTGACGTCATCAGACCACGCCCCTTTGCTTCCAGTCCAGCCTGGCCGGCCTCTCTGCTTATGTGTGTGCTCTTTGAAGGCTGTACCCCCTGTGAGTTACCCTCTGTGCTCTCCTTGCCTGCCGCTGACCTATTATCTACCATGTCTTAGTCTAAGTAGACCTCCCCCTCATCTAGCAGGGAGCAGGGTTGAGGTCCTTCCTCTGATCATGAGACCTATGACCATTCCTCCCCCACTGAGCCCAGGGAGGATTGACCCAGGAGATGTTGCTATTGCATTTCAGCGTTCCCTGTCTGTTGCCATCCTATCTGCCATGGGGAATATGTCATCCTCTCTCTCACAGTCCATTGCCCAGGCACTGATGCAGACTCAACCTGCCCCCACTAGGGACCTGCCCCCTCGATCTAAAGCAGTCCCTTTCGTGAACCAGCCCAGGTCCCCTAAAGCTGTAGGCAAAAAGGCTATTGTAAAATCATGCCACTTGTCGGCGCCTGCCTCTAGAACCTCTATGATTGATGGTCATAAAGCCATCCCAGATAGCGTTGAATTCGCAAACAAAATAGCCTTAAAATGGATGCGTTAATGGAAAGGTGCCAGAGTACTATCTGATACCGACTCCCAAGGGTCTCAAGAGGAGGCTTTGATGAAGTCTGCCTCGGAGTCTGGCAACAGCTCCCCCGCTGTCAACTATATGGACAAGTCCCCTAACCCTAGCCCTGCCCTATCTCAGACTCCTAAAGGCACATTCAGACACTATTCTGGATCCCTTGGGAGATCCTCTATTTGACCCGGATGAACTGCATCACCCCAGATCAGCAGAGTGGGTTCCTGTTGGCCATGTGACTTTACATTTGCAGTTGAGTGTGAGGCGCCCCCTCTCCAATGCTACACGGAGTAACCTCCGAGCTCAATGCCCACGCCCGTTGGTGCCGGGCCGTGTCTGTGAGACACCCGAAGTGGATCCTAAATTGGTTCAGTTCCTGACCAAACTGGGGGGGGGGAACCCCCGCAAGGGCCTTGAATCAGCGTTGAGAGCTTGCCAAGACAAGCACCTGGATATTTTTGGCCCTCTGACCAAATTATTTGAGATGGCTAAAGCGGCCCTTTGTGACGGCTGCCCCGTGGACCCCCATCTCATGAGTGGTTGGGTCCAGTGAGTCATTTTTCATGCTGGCATCGTTAATACCTCCCTCTCCACAGACAGTCATATCATTTAAAATCGAGCCTAAACTCACTAATCTGGCTCTTACCGAGATGGGTAAAGACGCTGATGGGCTGCTCTTTGGATCCTCGTTTATCAAAGACCTAGGCAGATATGTAGGTGCCTTCACTGCCCTTGACGAGGTGCAACACTCTATGCGCAGGGTTTTTACGAAAAAGGTCTCCACCAGGGCCAGGGGCTACAGGGGCCGCCCCTCTGGCCGTGACTCCTTCTCATGCTCACTCAGACAGAGTCGAGGTCCCCCCTTTCCCTCCCAGAGGGGCACTTACCAGGACGCAATAACTCCATCCCCCTTCTTTCTGTAGCGTTACTTACCTTAACCGGGGGCCGGTCGCGGTCCTCTCTTCAAGCCGCGCGCGGTCCTGCGGCTGCACGAGCCGCGCGCGGCTCATCCGACTGCTTTGGATGGAAGGCGGGCAGTGACCGCGTGAAGCGGTCACGTGTCCCGCCTGAAACTAAGAGCGCGCCGCGAGTCTCGGGCGCGCTCTTAAAGAGACAGTGGGAGCCTAATTGCCAAAAGGCTCCCATTGGCTCCTGTCATACCACACTCCCTGTACAATTACCTATAGGGGGTGTGGAAGTGACAGGAGCCAATCACTTTCGTTTTAAAGCTATTTAAACTTACCTTTTTCCCTTAGCTCGTTGCCCTATCGTGGTTTCTGTTTCAGTTCCCTTTAGCGCTTGTGGTGTTCAGTTGTGTTTTCTCGTATTGACTTTGGCTTCGTATTCTGACTTCGTTTTCGCTTTATCCTTATCTGTACTGTTTGCCGGCTTGCTGTTTTCCGTGTACCAGACCCCGGCTTGTCCTAGTTTACGCTGTCTCTCTGTGCCCTTGACCTCGGTTTGTTCCTGGCTCTGTCTCCTCTCATATACGTCGAGTCCGGCCATTCTAAGGTCCGGTAGACGTATCTCTCCTCTGTATTTGCCTCTGTTTAGCTGGATCCTGCGTGTAGGGGTATATTCTCGTTACATTACGATAGGGCCATGGACCCCGCAGATTTAGCTCAACAGATGGCGTCCCATGAGGCAAGATTTGTAGAGCAGGATCACCGTATGGATCAGATAGCTCAGGCTCTCCAGACGCTCCTAGCTAGAACCGTTCCAGCAACCACACCTAACCCTCCTACGCCCCTTCTCCCTGAAGTATCTACTTTGCCTAATACTTCGGCCCATTTAACACCTCCTCCTAGGTATGGAGGGGACTCTAAGACTTGCAGAGGGTTTATTAATCAAATTGAATTTCACTTCGAAATGTATCCACGTTCATTTCCCACAGAGAGGTCTAAGGTTGGGTTCTTTATGCACCAACTTACCGATAAGGCACTTGAGTGGGCAAATCCTATTTGGGAAGCTAATGGACCTATGGTACATGATTTCAACAGTTTTCTTACGGCTTTTCGTAGAACTTTTGACACAATGAAAAGGTCAAAGAATGCCGCGAGAGCATTAATGAGAATTAAACAGGGTTCTAGGTCTGTGGCTGATTATGCTATTCAGTTTCGCACTCTTGCTTCGCAGGTAGATTGGACCAACAATGGGTTAACTACTGCCTTTATGGAAGGTTTGTCAGATACGATATTGGATGAGGTAGCAGCTAAGGAGCTTCCTATTGCCTTAGAGGACCTTATCGATTACCTCATTGATATAGATAATAGAATTCGTGACAGGCTCTATACCAAGAACAGGAATAGACGTTTTGTTACACCCATTAACCCCAGAGTTAATATACCAGAGAGTGTTAAAGTGTCTGAGGAGGAACCTATGCAATTAGGGGTTGCCAAACTCTCTGATACTGAGAAATTACATAGGAGAAGGGAGGGACTCTGCCTATACTGTGGTAGGAGAGACCATATGGTAAAGGAATGTCCTTTACTCCCGGAAAACTCTCGCACCTAAGACCTTATAGGGGACTGGCCTTGGGTGTGATATCTAAGTCTCCTAAATTGCCTCCTAACCGCTTGCTTCTCCCGGTTTCTTTATATATGGGAGAGATTTGTATAGTTGACAACATATATGCTCTGGTTGACTCTGGGGCAGCTGAAAATTTTATAGACTCTGGCTTTATAAAGAGAAACAACATTCCCATCAGAGAGAAGGAGATACCCTTGGCCGTTGAGGCCATAGATGGTAGACCATTAAGTTCTCCAGTTGTTACTCATGAGACTGTACCATTACACATGTACACAGGGGTTTTACACTATGAAACCATTCGATTCCAGGTCATCACCTCTCCCTCTTCACAGTTAGTATTAGGGTATCCATGGTTACGTGCTCACAATCCCATTTTTGACTGGGAGACAGGGCAAATAAAATCATGGAGTGAGGCCTGCCACGAGTCTTGTACGTTGGAAGTCACACCTTTGAATTCTATTGAGGTACCTACCAGTCCTCCTTTGTCTACGGTTATACCCCCTCAGTATTTATCTCTAAAGACTGTTTTCGATAAAAGGGAGGCTGAGAAATTACCGCCTCACAGACCCTATGATTGCGCTATTGACTTGTTGCCTGGCACTATACCTCCAAAGGGCAGGGTGTACCCCTTATCGGTTCAAGAAAACCGTGTCATGGAGGAGTATATTAAGGAATCACTAGAAAAGGGGTTTATTAGGAGATCATCTTCTCCAGCTGGAGCAGGGTTCTTCTTTGTATCGAAGAAAGAAGGTGATTTAAGACCGTGTATAGATTATAGAGGTCTAAACAAAATCACTATCAAAAATGCATACCCTATACCTTTAATTACAGAATTATTTGACAGGCTGAAACATGCCACTGTGTTCACTAAATTAGACCTTAGGAGTGCATACAATTTGATACGTATAAAGGAAAATCACGAATGGAAGACTGCATTCAACACTAGATCCGGTCATTACGAATATACTGTTATGCCATTTGGGCTTTGCAATGCCCCAGCAGTATTCCAAGAATTTATTAATGATGTCTTAAGAGATTTTATTCACACATTTGTTATCGTATACTTGGACGACATTTTAATATATTCTACAGATATACACACTCATCACAGACATGTTACGACAGTTTTGAAGACCCTTCTTGCTAATGGTCTTTATTGCAAGCTAGAAAAATGTCTGTTTGACCAAACCGAAGTCCAGTTCTTGGGGTATTTGATTTCCGCTAAAGGTTTTCGTATGGATCCCCAGAAGCTTGCTGCTGTAATAGAATGGCCTCTACCGCAAGGTCTGAAAGCTATTCAGCGTTTTCTTGGGTTCTCCAATTATTATAGACGTTTTATCAAAGGTTTCTCGTCCATTGTAGCACCTATTACCCGTATGACTAAAAAGGATGGCAATACTCGTGTTTGGTCTACCGAGGCACTTCAGGCTTTTGAATTTCTTAAAACTACGTTCGCCTCTGCACCTATTTTACAGCATCCTGTCCCCTCACTGCCCTATATTCTTGAAGTTGATGCTTCGGATATTGGGGTAGGTGCTGTCTTATCCCAAAGAGAGTCGCCTGAAAAGCCATTGCATCCATGCGGCTTCTTTTCTAAACAAATGTCCAAAGCAGAGAAAAATTATGATGTGGGTAATCGCGAACTCCTTGCTATTATTTTAGCACTTAAAGAGTGGAGACATTTGTTAGAAGGAACTAAGGATCCTATCCTCATTTTTACGGATCACAAGAACCTATCCTACCTTAGCGAAGCCAAAAGATTGTCTTCCAGGCAGGCTAGGTGGTCACTATTTTTGTCCCGTTTCAATTTTATTATCACCTATAGGCCAGGTGATCGCAACACTAAAGCAGACGCTCTGTCCAGACAGTTCGAAACTACTGACAAACAGGAGATTGATGTTACTCCTGTCATTCCCCCAGACAGGATAATAGCTACTACTATTTTGTCTATTTCCTCGTCCCTCTTGCAGGCCATACAAGCGAAACAAAGCATGGCACCTAGCGAGAGGCCTAATGATAAACTGTTCGTTGATGTTCCTGAGAGACGGGATATTATGTCATTATATCATGATACTAAGACTGCTGGACATCCTGGTATTTCCAAAACGGTGTCAGCTGTTTCTCGGTATTTTTGGTGGGATTCCTTACGAAAGGATGTCACTGACTATATAAGTGCTTGTACTACTTGTGCCTGTATGAAATCCTCCCGTAGAGTTCCTTGTGGGCTGTTGCATCCGTTACCCGTTCCCGAGAGACCTTGGTCTAACCTGTCCATGGATTTTATTGTTGAATTACCCCCTTCAAATGGTAACACAGTAATCCTGATGATAGTGGATCGGTTCTCCAAAATGGCTCACTTCGTGTCTCTTCACAAGTTGCCCACATCCAAGGAACTGGCTCATATCTTCGCTAGAGAAGTATTTCGATTACATGGGATTCCCGTATCTATTGTATCCGATAGGGGTAGCCAATTTATTTCCAGGTTCTGGAGGGCCTTTTGTTCAGAAATGGGTATTTCTCTCTCATTTTCTTCCGCTTATCATCCCCAGTCTAATGGGGCTGCTGAACGTGCCAACCAGTCTCTGGAGCAATACCTCCGTTGTTTTGTGTCTCACCATCAGGACAATTGGTCTGACCTGCTTCCTTGGGCTGAATTTGCTCGGAATAACGCCACTCATGATTCTTCCGGCAAGACCCCTTTTTACGTTGTCTATGGCCAGCATCCCGTTGTTCTTCCGGCTGCATTCTCCTCACAGGGCATGCCAGTTCTGGATGAGCATTTGGCTGGTTTGCGTAATACTTGGGAGCAGGTTCAGCGTTCTTTGGTGGACTCTGCTACTCGCCAGAAGGCTCAGGCTGACAAGCATCGCAGAGCAGCTCCGTCCTATGTTGTGGGGGACAGGGTTTTGCTTTCCACGCGGAATATTCGTCTCCGGGTGCCTTCTATGAAATTGGCTCCCCGCTTCATTGGACCTTATCGTATTATACATAAGGTTAATCCTGTTTCTTATGCCTTAGGCCTGCCTAAGAATCTACGTATTCCTAATGTTTTTCACACCTCATTGTTGAAACCTTTCGTACGCAACCGCTATACCCGGCATACTCCTCCTCCCCCTCCTATCTCGGTGGAGGGTCATGAGGAGTTTGAAGTGTCTGCTGTTCTTGACTCTCGTTTCCTTAGGGGTCGACTTCAGTACTTGGTACATTGGAAGGGTTATGGGCCTGAGGAGCACAGTTGGATTTCGGCTGATGCTGTCCATGCTCCCCGTCTTGTGCGCTCTTTCCATTCTCGTTTTCCTGCCAGGCCTGGTCCTACCCGCCCGGGGGGCGTGTCCTCAGGGGGGGGTACTGTAGCGTTACTTACCTTAACCGGGGGGCGGTCGCGGTCCTCTCTTCAAGCCGCGCGCGGTCCTGCGGCTGCACGAGCCGCGCGCGGCTCATCCAACTGCTTTGGATGGAAGGCGGGCAGTGACCGCGTGAGGCGGTCACGTGTCCCGCCTGAAACTAAGAGCGCGCCGCGAGTCTCGGGCGCGCTCTTAAAGAGACAGTGGGAGCCTAATTGCCAAAAGGCTCCCATTGGCTCCTGTCATACCACACTCCCTGTACAATTACCTATAGGGGGTGTGGAAGTGACAGGAGCCAATCACTTTCGTTTAAAAGCTATTTAAACTTACCTTTTTCCCTTAGCTCGTTGCCCTATCGTGGTTTCTGTTTCAGTTCCCTTTAGCGCTTGTGGTGTTCAGTTGTGTTTTCTCGTATTGACTTTGGCTTCGTATTCTGACTTCGTTTTCGCTTTATCCTTATCTGTACTGTTTGCCGGCTTGCTGTTTTCCGTGTACCAGACCCCGGCTTGTCCTAGTTTACGCTGTCTCTCTGTGCCCTTGACCTCGGTTTGTTCCTGGCTCTGTCTCCTCTCATATACGTCGAGTCCGGCCATTCTAAGGTCCGGTAGACGTATCTCTCCTCTGTATTTGCCTCTGTTTAGCTGGATCCTGCGTGTAGGGGTATATTCTCGTTACACTTTCTACATAGGGGTCATCCCTGGTGTTCCAGAGGATCGTCCTCATCTAGACCGTTCGTTGGTGAGTCACCATCTATTTTTCTAAAATTTGGTCCTCTGTCACCTTGGACACCTGGGTCCTCCAGACAGGCCGAGGGTACCGCATAGAATTTGTAATGACCCCTATGCAGTTGTGTCCTTCCCATCCTTTTGTATTCTGCAGGTCCAACCTGCACATGGTTAATGCAGAACTGAAGGAATTACACCTCAAAGGGGCGATAGAACCCGCATGTCCAACCGCTCATGCATATATGAGCAACATATTTCTGTTTCAGAAAAAGGGCGGACAACCTCCTTGATGCCCTGGTGTGCTAGAGGCACTACAAAATGAACGGGATCCACCTTCTACGTGATTTACTCCTCACCGCAGATTGGATGGTGAAGCTGGACCTCAAAGACATCTACCTCACAGTTCCCATCAACACAGACTCAAGGGACTTGGTGGCGGTTTACTTGCCTGCCTTTTGGCCTCTCATCGGCGCCTTGGTGCTTCATCAAGATGTTTCAATCTGTTATGGCTCTGCTGCGGGCTCGTCCAACTGATAATGTACCTGTCCCAGGATCCGGACACCCTACGGCTCCTTCTACGGTGGGCCATGGACCTCCTCTCTCAGCTTGGTTTCCTCATGAATTGGGAGAAGTCACAAATGACCCCAGCAAGAAAGATGGAGTTTCTGGGATTCTTGATCGACTCGATCAACGAGACCTTGAATCTACCTGCCTCCAAAGTTCGCTCCATCAGGAGGGAGATCCGTCAGACCCTGTCTCATCGTCTGATTTCCCTGAGACAATTGGCTTGTGTGATTGGCCTCGTGACGGCGTTGGTCCAGGTGCCTGGACCCTTGCACTACTGTACCCTTCAGCACCTCAAGATTTTGCCCTTGCGGAGAGGCCTATCATATGGAGATCGCATCTCTCTGTATGCGGCGACGAGAGACGAACTCTGCTGGTGGATCTTCAATCTGGATGTCTGGAATGGCAGAGCCATTTTTGGCCTGCAGCTGAAGGTCCATAGAGTCGGATGTGAGTCTTCACGGTTGGGGAGCCAGTTGTGGCCCGGTCTCTAAGGGCAATCACTGGTCTCCTGAAGAATCCAGTTCGCACATCAACTGTTTGAAACTGCTCGCGGACTCCTTTGCCCTTACGAGCTTTTTAGGCGGTTATGCCAATGTCTGACCAACTCCGCATGGACAATGTATCAGCTGTCCGATACATCAATCACCTGGGCGGGACCCATTCAGCGGTCTTAGCTACATTGGCATGAGATTTTGGGGATTTTTGTTTGTCCAGGAATATCATGGTGCGGGCAGAATACATTTCCAACTGAACCGGCAATTGCCCCTGTTCTTCAGTTGGTGAATGGACCTGGAGTCGATGGCTGTGGATGCTTTCCTCCAGGACTGGAGCTGACATCACAATTATGCTTTCCCTCCAATCTTCATGCTGCCCAGAACACTTCTCCAAGATCGTTCTCATGGTGCCATCAATGTCCCTAGGCTGCTCTCGTCCAACCAAAGGCTCCTTCTGGACCCCGACGGTCGTCCCCACCCCCTGGTGCATGAGGGTCGACTCCCTCTTGTGACGTGGCTGATTTCTGGGGACCTTAGGATATCTTGGGAATTTTTAGACTCAGCTAGACGCCTTCTGGCAGATTCATGGGCTCCCAGCACTAGGGTCACTTACCGCTCAGCCTGGCGCGTCTGGGCTGGCTGGTGCGTGACTCAGGACGTGGATCCCATTTCAGCCACTGTGACGGAAATACTTCAGTTTCTCTTGTCTATGTACGATTCAGGACGGGCGTATTGCACGATAAACATGTATTTATCTGCCATTTCCTCCGCTCACGTGGGCTTCAATGGCTTACCAGCAGGCAAACATCACCTGAATTGCCCCCTCTCTCGGCCTCCCCGTGCCAAGTATAGTTGCACTTGGGACGTGTCTTGCATCCCCGCATTGTTCGAGTTCTGGCCTCCGGATGTGGATATCTCGCTTCAGCAATTGTCGGCTAAACTGGTTACTCCTTCCTCCCCCATGTGTCTTACCTGTCAGTGTTAATTTTGGCGACTAATTTCAATTTAGTTTTAGTCAGTCATAGTCTTTTGACTAAAAAGCCATTTTAGTCTTCTAAATTGTTTTAGTTTTAGTCTAGTTTTAGTCGACTAAATGTAAAAAATTTTAGTTGACTAAATCTGACGAAAATGGTAAGTCGACAAAATTAACACTGGTTAAAATGAACCTACTCCTAATAATAATTAGCTTTTTCCTGTTCTATTTACCTACCTTCTACTTTTTTTTTTTAATGCACACTAGTCATTAAATATATTTTTCATTTCACAATAAGTGTAGATTTCAATTAAAATAGGAAGTTTTAAAAATTTACCTGGTTACAACCCTCTGCCTGTCAATAAGACAATTCAGAGCACCTTCCTTGCAAATACCAAGGTTTGTCGAGTTGTGTTTTGTCCATGCATAGGTGTTCAAACCAGGTAAGTTTGCAGTGTAACTCCACTTTGTTAGGAAGTGTGTTATAAAAGTGTTGCAGTTGGGAATATAGGAACCACTGCATGGATGTGGGAGGTGTGCCTGCTAGCAGTTCCAGTAATTGTTTTAAACCTGCGTTTTGCAGGGCTTTGAGTAGTTGTTTCTAGTTTTGTTCAGGAATTCGAATGTGCTATGCGGCAGCCCTCCCCCCAGCAGGGGGTTGTTCGTCACTGGTATCAACAGACTCGGTTTGGGAGAGACG